TTTTTTTTTTTTTTGTTGTTGTTTTTTTTTTTTTTTGTGAACTGCTGGCTGAACTTGGCAGACTTCTTAAGGGTAATCTGAGGGAAATAAAAACTTCAATGAAATTCTGAGTCTGAAACCACTTATTCATTTCACTAAAGTGAAACCCTGTTGAGTCATTACTTTAATGACTGGCATCAAAGCCCAGCTGGATGATATCAGATTTCGGTTTCCCATTTGTGCAGTTGTTGTAACTTTTGGTGATGTTCAGTGGAGTTGGAGATAAGCATCTAATGTGGCTGTTATTCCTCCTCATCATAATGCTTTATTATTTCATAAGCAACCTGTCTTTTAAATTATCTTGTATTCCATTTTAAGTACAACCAACCTGATTTCCACCTGTCAAATTGTGAGGATCATATAATGTTAACTTAATGAAAATGTTCTTCTAAAGGGAACAGAACATTGCCCTTGTAACCTTGCCTGTGTTTTCTTTAGGCAAACCCCGCCCTCTATCAATGCCTGCAGATGGGAGCTGGGTTGGAGCTGCAGATCCCTTTTCTAGGTGTCGAGCACCAGGGAGAAAAGGTAAGAGTGGGAAGGGGGGGATCTGGTCTAGAACTGATATTTTGAAGATCAGATATTCACTATTTTGATGCCATGTTTCTGTTTTAATGGCTTTTATTAATATTAGGCAGTCGTTAAAGAATGTTTTAACCAATGATACAAAGAAGGTGGAGCTGCTCAACAGCTACTTTGCGTCAGTCTTCACGATGTCAGACACCTAATAGGGCTTATCTGGATAAGGAAGGGGGCAAGCTGAGGGAGGAGATAACAAAACCAATGGTCAGAGACCTTTTGTTGGGTCTGAATGAATTCAAGACAGCAGGGTGGGATGAGCTTCATCCCAGGGTCCTGAAGAAACTGGCGGAGGAGCTCTTGGTAATGATCTTCATGAAGTTGTGGGAAACTGGCTAGGCACCAGAGGACTGGAAAAGGGCCAATATAGTGCCCCTCTTTAAAAAAGACAAGAAGGAGGACCTGGGGAATTACAGACCAATTAGACTCACCTCAATATCTGGGAAGTTACTGGAGCCTATCCTAAGGAAGGCCATTTGCAAGCATCTGAAGGAGGAAAGGCTGATCACAACCAGCCAGCATGGATTTATGAAAAACAAATCGTGTAAAACAAACTTGATCTTCTTTGACAAAATAACTACTTGGGTGGGTGGAGGGAATGCTGTGGATATAATGTTTCTGGGCTTCAGCAAGGCTTTTGACACAACCATCTCATAAACAAATTGGAGAAATGTGGGCTGGATAAAACTACTAGAAGGTGATGGCTATAAGCAAAGGGTAATTATTAATGAGTCCATGTCAGAATGGCAGGGGTCTGTTCTGGGCCTGGTGCTGTTCAATGTGTTTCTTAACAACTTGGATTTTGGCATAGAAAGCTTCTTGAGCAAGTTTGTGGATGACATGAAACTGAGAAGGATTGTGAACGTGTTGGAGGATGCAAGCACAATTCAGAAGGGTCTCGATTGGAAAGTTGGGCTAGAGATTACAGGATGAAGTTCAATGTGGACAAATGCAAGGTGCTACACCTCAGGAAAAATAATCAGAAACACAAATATAAAATGGGTGACACCTACCTAGCTGGATGGCAGCTCTATGGAAAAGGACTTGGGAGCTTGGTAGACTACAGATTCAATGTAAGCTTGCAGTGTCATGCAGCTGCACAAAAGGCCAATGTGGTTTTGGGGTACATCAATAGAAGCATTAGGTACATGGCATGGCAGGTGATAGTGCCTTTCTACTTGGCATTGGTTAGGCCTCATCTGGAGTGCACTGCATGCAGTTCTGGGTTTTACATTTTAAAAAGGATGTGAAGAAGTTAAGAGCCCAGAGGTAGGCAACTAAATGATAAAGGGCTTGGAAAGCAAGTCGTATGAGGAGAGGCTGAAGGACCTAGGCATGTTCAGCTTGCGGAAAAGGTTCATAAGAGGTGACATGATAGCAAATATTTGAAGCACTGCCCATAAAAAGGGGAAACTCCTTTGCTCTCTTGCTACAGAGAGGAGGACTTAGACCAATGGCTTGAAGTTGCAGCAAAATAAAGTTAGATTGGATATAAGGAGAAGCTTCTTCACTGGAGAGAATAGTGAGGCAGTAGAATAGACTGCCTAGGGAAGTTGTGGACTCTCCACCACTGGAGGTGGTCAAGATTATAAACCATATTATAAAAAGTGGATTATAAATCAGGTTGGACAGCTACTGGTCAGGGATGATCTAAACATAGCTATGCCTATCTTCTGTCATGAGTATTTCCCATGGTTTTGCTGATTGATTGATTGATTGATTTATTTATTTATTTTTTGTACCCCTCCTCCTTTTTTTTTTTCTGCTGTGTGTGTCAGGCTGTTTTTAAATCTCCCCAGAGGCACTAGGTGTTAGATAAAGCCAAGGCTGGGGATTTCAACTGTAGTGTGCTGATTCTTCTACTAGGAGCAGAACCAGAGGTTCCTGGCTAAAGGGACTTGCCCTTCTGCTCAGGGTCAGACCAGATCATATTATTTGGGATCAGGAAGGAATTTTACCCCAAATTGGTATGGACTGTGGGGGGCTTTTTTTGCCTTCCTCTATAGTTGGGGACCTCTTGAGTGTATATTGACAAATTTTATTTATTTTCATTGTTCCCCTGCTTTACCTGTGGCAGGTTGGGGTGTTAGGTCAATGTTGTGTCAGGGTTGAGGGTAGTCTTGTGTAGAGTTTAGATCCTGGGTGGACAATTATTTTGGCTGGAGGGCTGCTTAATGAGTTTTGGTGAGCTGTTGAGGGCTGCATGGGTAGCCCTGCCCCTTGACAGTTGCTCCACCCCCTAGTTGCCATATCGGGGCTGGAAGTCCTGCCTCTGACCCCTGACCTTTGCCACCAGAACACTTTTGGGTGGGAGGTTGTCATCTTAGAACCAGAAAAAGAAGAAAACCAAATCATACACTAAAAGTCAAACGCCCACTATAACATATTTTAATGTTATTACAAAAAATATTTTTGTTATGATTTGTGTTTGTGTAACCCATATAGAGATGATTGCATAATAACTCAAA